CTCAAAATAAATTATTCCATTCTCTATCTAGAAGATTGTCACAGCTCAACAGACACATGTAAATTAAAGAACACCAATTCATGGATCATAAAATCTTGTGTTAGATGAAAGAGATTTAAGAAAAATAGTGAATTTTTTTTTATATAACTTATAAATATTAAGAAATCTTTTTACAAATGGTTTTAGTTTTATTTTTCTTTTTTCTTTTTTTTTTCTTTGTTAAAGGTGAGATTCGATTTCAAATCCTTCAAGTCTACCATCTTTGCTAACATCTCCATTATTAAGTTAATTAGAACTTTTAGTTAGAACCTTTATTGATTGCATTTATCCCTTTGGCTTGTATATACATATATTTGTCATGAAATCATAACATAAAAGCTTTTTTCATGTGCAAAAATTAAACTTTTACCCCTGGGGTGCAAATTCCACCTTTGCTTCCCCCATGTGCTTCACTTGAGTTAGTCCATGAAAAAAGCTCATCAGTCCCTCTCAGTACTTTCATTTTCAAGTCAAAAAAATGACAAAAGGTGTTCCTATTTTCTTTTTTCTTTTCTATTGGTGGTTTGCCCATATAAAGGGGAAACAGGATACCTTTATTTACACAGCCCCTTTGTTGAGATCACATTGAGTGATGCATAAGATTTTGAAATAGTTGAAGATTAAAAGAAAAAAAAAAGAGGGTTTTTTGAAATAGTTGGTGATAAATTAATTAGAATAATTTATGAAAATTAAAATGAGATCAATTTGAAAAAATGCCCATAGATATATAGAACATTCAATTTAATGGGTTGGATTGGACTAAATATTTGACCTTGTTAAATTGTTTTTAATTCTCAACTAATTTATAGATTTGCTATGTTAACTAATCAAACCCAAAGAAAAATCAAGGTGGGTTGGCTGACCCGTACCTGCCTACCTATTGTTGCAGAAAATGCTTTAATTTTAGGGGAAAATTACAAGAGTAGAGAGATATTTACAATATGATATGATATTTTATAAATTTTTTTATCATAAAGTTATGCACAAAGTGATACGTATTCAATTCATACTTATACTATATATAAAAATAAAACATAAAATATTTCTTTTACAGTTTGATACAATTTAAATTATCAAATAATTTTTCGAAATAGTATTGATTATGGCATTATCAACTTTAAACTTCTTTTGAAAAAACAAAAAGATAGGGAAAGAAATGGGAACGAAGGAGGAACTTAGAACCTCAAGACCAAAGGTGTATGAAAAGAGGGCTTTGTTGTGAGATGAGCTGTCTCAGTCCAGTAGATGCCATGCTGAGCTGTGTGTCTTCAATGTACACCATAATTGCCACCTTCTTTCTCCTGTCAACCATAATTTTTTCACACACACCTTTTTTTCTTTAATATACGGTTAGAGTGTTATTGGACCAATTCTTGTGCATTTTAAGATTTTTTTTTATTTAGTATATTTTAAAAAATTAATTAATAAGTTTATTGTTCATTTGTCTTAAAGTTTAGATTTTAAATTTGTCATATGACATTGATTTGCTAATCAATTTAACCTTAGGATTCCAGACACTATTTTAATTACATGCATTGTATCTTGGCTATTCCATACCATATTAATCAAGTGATGCACATCATATATTCCTCATTTTTAGAAACTGGTTTTCATAAGTGCTCAACTTTCTTTATAAGTTAAAAGCTAAAGTTAAGAGAACATGATATGACAAAATTTTATCCATATATAAGAACCCTAGCTATCTGTCTAAGGGTATGTTATGGGCACATGCAAAAATGTTAAGCTCACACAAATTTAATTATTTTTTAAACAATTAGTTATAGTTTTTTTTTTTAAATTTGTGCCATTATGACACATATTAATGATACAATAATTATTGTACTTTTTTATATTCATTAGTATTTAAAAAATAAAAATTGACCTTTATTTAATCAATTATTCAATTAAAATGATTCAAAAAGCATTAGTGATAAAATTAATAATAATTTTTGTATTTTTCAATACTAATTAATGTAAAAATTATGTAATAATTACACTTTTAACCTCTATATTGAGGGTAGGTTAAAAGCCCTTAGTTGTATTATCTGTCACCATTTTTTCTTAAATTAATTTTAATATATTAATTAATAAATGTCAACTATTTTAATATAATTAATTTTTGTCTAAAAAATCATAATAAATTTTAATTATTGAAAATCAAAAATAAAAAATCAAGATTTTACATAAATATAATATATAAAACTTGTATAT